TGAAGAAGTAGAAAAGTAAGGAATAGAGTTATGAAAGTTGAGAAGAAATGAAGAAAGAGATAAATAAGAAAGTGACGAATAAAAGATAACGAAAGAAGGAAGTAAAGAAGAAATAAATATAGAAAGACAAGAAGGTTGCAAAGGGATAATTGAAATGATTCCAAGAGTCCAGTATAGGAGACCGGCTCGAGGAAGAATGAATGAGCGCTCGGAGTCCGTGCACTGCCTCGAGCGCTCCCCCCACCAACCGCTTGCTCCGGCTCACCGAGTTCTGCGCGACGAACGTGCGCGCACACAATTTTGGGCAACTTACAGTATTTCTAAATATGCTTGGCCAGAATTTCCGATTTCTGAGTGTTAATATTTTACTTTATTGATTTAATTAATTATTTTAATGTTCCAAACGTCTAATTTATTAATATTTCAATTTGAGCGTAATTTATTTACGATATTCTACAACTTCAATTCAATTTTTATCTACTCCGTATATCCTGCGAGATTTTGGTTTAGCCTCGATTTTATATTTTGAATAAATTTTGAAAGTAATTCAAGATCCAATAATATTTAATAAAAACTGAGGTGCTACACGGGTGTCAAGTTGGCACTGCACTTTCTTAAAAATGTCTTAAAAATGTTTCAACAATAGGCTTTCTGAATAGTTCTTGAGATATTCTATAGTTCCCGGTCTCGTTCTAAGGCTTCCTTTGAGAACCAGCGTTATCGGAGAACCTCTGCCCGCCAAGCCATGCGTTCTTGTTAACGTTTAGTTCGGCTACGACGGGTTTCGGATTGTCGACGAAGGCGATGATTACAAAATCATACTTCCAGACTCGCCGCTACGATTTAGTACCATGATTTTGGTATCGCCTAAAACGGTAGCGTTGTGCATTCCCCTACTTATATCTGTAATCTGTACTATGGTACTACGTTACAGAATTATGCAGAAGATGATGCTGCTTTTGCTGCTCGGTAGATGCTGCCGCCTCAAGCGACGAGTTTTCAAACTACATGGACGCTCCACGGGTATATCTATAATAAAACTACACAGCATACTGTAACACGCATAAAATATCTTTAAATGAACGACAAACTTATATTGTAAAGTCAAAAAATGGTCGTCTAAGAATATTAATAAAATTGTATTACACATTTTTTTTGGTTTACTGTTTTTCAACAAACGCACTGCTGCTGCCACATCGCGGGAGTTTACATTACTATTTTGTTCACCTAGTATCCGAACGGTAACGCCTCCGTTACAGTGACGCAAGTGCTTTGAGTGCAAACAAGTTCGATCCAAACAGTAACACGTGATTAAATTCCACTGTAGATAATTCAAAGATAAATAATTGAAAAATTGCCATTTGACAACAACAGTGCATTCCCAGTGACGTCGACAATGCAGCCGATACATCGAAATCCCGTACACGAATATTTGGGGAAGCAAGAACGCGAAGTGACAGAACGTATCAGTTCGACTAAATCTGAAATAGAAAAGATTAAAGAAGTGACGCGAAAACTAGAACGCTCTTTGTTCTACCGATCCGTCTACGGCATAGATCCTAATCCTGACTCCGACGATGACGTGAGTTATACAATTAAATTAAATTAACCATCTACCCGGCGGCATAACCTAAAAGTGAAGTCCTGACCGTATGTATGTACATACATAGATTTATACGGCCGCCGGTTGCCCGGTTCAACTGCAAAGGCAACCGCAAAAGGAAAAAAGAGACATCCTCACGGCGGTCGAGTGTTGGCATCAAATAATCGACGACAAATGGGTACTCGGCGTAGTCTTACGGAACGTGTCAAAAGAGTGAGCTTCTTTTTTAATCTATACACTGACCCTCGAGAAGTCCCTTAAAATAGACGTCCAGTTAGTTAAATTCATCCCCTGAGCACTACTGGAATAATCAGATTTCTTGTTCCTAAATCGTAATACTGACGAAATGAAGGTTGACAGATAATCTTATCTACCTTGCTTGGAATTAAGGGTGGGATACTTCGAAATGATTGCTGGCGCAATCTGTTGCTTGAAGCTGGAAGCAGACACGAAATACCACTGTAGGAAAATATACACCTATATGAATTTTAATAATAGTTTTAATTGAATAAATTTGATTATATTCGTACGAGAAGAATGTTGAATTTCTAGTTTATTTGGAACTTGAGCATACTTTTCTAAAACTCTTACATCACTATAGCACCGAAAATATTTCTATTAGACTTATGAAGACGTGTTGAGCGCAATCTTCGATCCACCTGCTTACGTTCAACCCTACTTTATCTTCACTCGTTAAAGAATGGGGTTTACGAGAATCTACAAGAGGCCAAGTTATTGTGCTCCTTACCGATATTAAAATACTCGTCAGGGTAATAGTCAAACAATATAAAGTCGTATCTGAAAATAATAAATGCAAAGTTACCGCAAGATTGCCGACGTCGACGTCGCGACGTCCAACGGCTACTTACTTGAACATTTCATAAAGTTCTTCGATGTTTTTATTTGTGAGTCGTGCGTAATACGTCTTTATGACGTCCTTAGTCTGAACACCACGAGCTGAATTTTTCCATTCAGGCTTAACAATGTGACCCACCCGTGCTTGTTTGATCAGAAAGTTCTGATCGTCCTGTTAAAAAACCGTCGTAAGCTCCAAGAACCTGACAAATTTTACATAAATGTTTAAAAATTAAATGAGACAACTCACGTGCAAAGTTTCAAACTTGGCGATCACGTCAAAGCGCACTTGACAAGGCGTGCAGAAATTAGCCACTGGAGTCCAGTGCATGTCAAGCTCTTTTCCAGCTTTCCAGTCGCACAAGAGCCAGGCAACAAATTCTTCAAAAAGTGGATACTTGGGTCCTTGGATCATACCAGTTTTGGGATCCTTGAATAAAAAAAAGAGAATGGCAGCATTTCCAAATACTTACATCTAATTATTATTTCAGATTCTATAATACAAAGCTGAACTCACCCTAGGCCTATAATGAGACACTATACTCGCACCTATCTTGCTGTGGTAGGTGTGCGGGAGACTCTGCTTTAATTTATCCCTGTACGCGCTAAGAAGTCGCTCGAAGGGATGCCTAACGATGAGGAAGCTGATGCTGTCATTAAGGTACCTGGCAAGTTCCTCGGCAGTCGGCCTAGGATACCTCTGTCGTGCTAGTGTCATCGGTACAGTCTTCGAGGTCTTCAGAAACTGTGGACTGTAACTGGAGCAAAAATGAAAGCAGAGTTAAGGAAGAAAAGCAGAAGAAAAATAAGAAGATATAAAATATTGCATGGATCCGGTATTCCCTTACCCGGCTAACAAATTGAAATTATACATCCACGAGGTGGAGGCCGCTTTAAATATATTACACCAGATAATATGATGCTCGCGATTAACAAGAAACTCCCAGGCGTTAGGCCGATGAAGAGAGTCGTTACCGGGACGATCCAGACCCTCCTGGGAACATTTTTCAGCGAGAAACTTTCGCCTCTCTGCAAGGCGCACTTCCGTATCCGCCATAACGTTTTGTTCCATGAGCTTTTCCTCTGGCGACAGATATTCCTGAAGAGATAACAAAATCAATACCAAACAATGGAAAGACATTAGTAGCCAAGAAAAATGGCGTGACACGAGTAACGGCCACGTTCCTCGAGCCAGATGGCAAAAATAAAAGAGAATTTAAAAAGTAAACAGTTACTTCTATTACGTTGTCGCTTCTAAAATGCCTGGTTATCTTCTGCTCGACGTCCCTGACTTGAAGCTAAGCTTGGGGTTTATCACACTGATTCACATAAATCTTATCAGTGAATGGAAATGAAAAGAAATTGATTACCAACCATGAAGATGTAAACAGCATTAATTGTGACAACAATAGAAACATCATGAGTACTGCTGGATGAGTGTTTTATGTAATGTGAATATCTGTAATAAGACAAACAATTCCAATAATTTTGGCTGGTATTCAGAAGGTTGATCCCGTTCGAGAGATTACGTCACGCGTTTGCAAGTTGAAAGGGGTAAGAATGCCGCAATGCGTCTAAAAGACCTAGAACCTAGAACGATCAGCAATAAAATTATGAACGGGGTCAGAAGTCCTAGAACTTCAAGTGAAAAATATTCCTGATGGCAAGATATGAGTTGACCTTAGCATTAGCGTTAAGATCATAATCAAATTCCAATATGCCCGTACGGTAGCGGTAAAGCCAGGAAACTGGTTCAATGATCTAAATTCTGGGATAACGTGACTGGATAACAGGATTGAGACCTTAAAGATCTCGAATAATAGATATTACCAATGTCAATTCTGGTTATAAGAACGAAGAAGACATTTTTTTTTTTTAATTTTTCTTCAAATTTTAATCTACCTCAGGAACAATTACTTGATGTACGTCGTTCGTGTCCTCCTGATTGGACAAGGCCAGGATGACAAGGGCCAGGACGCCTGCGACCAAGACCGTCCTGCGCACCCCTGCCAGCAGGTGACATCTTGGTGTCATCTTTTGTCTGTGCGCACACTTCTTCCTGTACTCATACCGAACTGCAACAGAATCAACGATTCTGCTGGTTAGTTAACCAATAGGTAGTACAGCTAGCGGATAAACAGAAGGTGAAAAAAGTTTAACAAACAACCGTGAAATAAAATGAGGAGAACAGGTGGTAGAATAGGCCTGAATAAGTTACAATGTGCGATAGCGGTATCGGTAATGAATATCATCGCCGTAGTAAATCCTACACATTGATAATTGAAATAGTAAACTTTAATTTACACGTTAAAAAATTATATCTGATTACAAATTACAGAATACAAATAAAGTAAGGAACATAGAACGGCAGTAAGTTTAGATTAGGAGAAAAACAGTTACAAATGCCCCTATTGATTATATCTAGGTATACGTTTACATAAAATACGCGAATAACGCACGTGCGTCAGCTACTAGCTCGTTGCCACTGATTGTCCGTGGTATAATAAACGACTGTGAACAATAACCAGACATTATAAATCAATAAAACAAAAAAATCTAACTAACCACCCGTGGCGCTTAGAGTCCAGCTTAGACACTGCTAAAAATTAATCACAATCAACGACTACGGATCAGTAAAATCGAAACAGCGTAGTCATAATAAAAAATTAAAAAACTCACGATTCAAGTAAAGAATTTACAAGGATGAAAGCACGGGTATTGCGGATGATGTCGATATGCGGTTCCTCGATTGATAAATAAATGTTAAAAACTGCCAAAAGCAATTTTAACGACGACTACAACTTTCACCGTACAGTACCCTCACGTGCCAATTATTACTGGAATTCTACTAGACAGCCATCAATTCAATTAACTAAATTAAATGGACTGACTACCAAAAATCAAACAATTTTAATTAAAATGAAATGCAAGTACCTTCCTCACGGGACATATGTCCACTTCTTAATTGAACTTATTCACCGACACATGTCACAAATATGTGATATGTATATAAAATTTCTGTGCTTCTCGGCCTCGCGAAAATTCCACACAAACACTTTCAATCCCAATGACACTGACAGTTAACAGTTCAGACTGTCGTAGGTCAGCTCACTATGCTAGCAGCCATCGCCGTCGCTGGCGTCTGTGTCCTAGATCCTCCAAGTCCCGACACAAGTCGACATCACCGTCCTCGTAGTCGTCATCCTTCTCCTCGGCTCTGGCGTCTCGACGTTGCTGCGCCTCCTCGCGACAGTACTGCCACCACACGATTAAAATTTCTCACCTTTCCCGATTCTCAAACGTCAAAGTTATATTAAATTAGCTCCCGCACTCTTGTCTACGACGGTCGGTAAAGCTTTCTTATCTAGTGGGTCGATTTGCTTAGACAACCCGCCGAGGGCGCAAGCGCCCTCTCTACAAGACAGTTATTACTCCGACGCTAGTTCCGTCAGCGAATCGACTTGTTTGAATCAGCTGTTACGTACCCGACGCTGCCCTTACAGTTTGAATTTACACTACCCTTGCTTGGGTCATACTAGTCAAATGCAAAAAGGAAATGCACATTGTTCGTGGAGTGGGGCGGGCGAGGTGGGATCTGAGAGAGTGGGTAGGGGCAAGAGAGAAGAAATTTCTAGAATCAATACTTGGTAATTGTTCACCTACCGATACGAAAAATCACTGTTACACACTTTTCAATGGCGGACGCAGACCACTTGCTGGATGCATACTATTTGTGAATCTTTATTCTTGGATCTGTATCTTTGGTTAAATACGAATGCTCTAGGACTGACTACGAATGACGATGCTGTTAGTTCCTGGTGATCGAGATTACGGTAGTCTTTTCAGTGTATGAATGGAAATTAGTCTTGACGATTTTGCACCTCGCTCGCTTCCTGACAGCTATAGTTAGATGCTCTGTGTTAATTTGTTCTCTAAACGATGGTACTGTTATAGTTCGTTTCAAAAGAGATAATTTTTCTTTCTTGTATGTAGAACACGGTGTTTGAATTAAATACTGTTTTTATTTTTTTACCTTTTTTCTTAAACTCCACACTTCCGGTTGGTCCGATACCATTTTTTTTAATGGCGCTTTGATTCGACTCGTTGAAGTCATTTCGGTTATCTGAAAATATTTTTACAGTTAGTTTTATATATGTATACTTTTTATTGACCGACATACGTCTTCGCTTATTCCCAAATGTCTATTCTAATTGCCTGATACGTGTTTTATCGACAATGGAACGTCGTTGATGTTACAAAAAAGAATTATTCGCCTTTTTTAACCGTCAGAATTTTTTGTGGTACAGATCTTTTCGATTTTCTACATTTTTACTATGGTATGTTTTTTTTGTTTTAGAACATTGCACGACCTCGACTTCTTTGTCTGCTTAAAAAATACAAGCCACGTTGCGGGAATCTCAACGATCTGGAAGCAAAATTTGAGTGAAACTATGAGAGAGGCGCGAGTTTGTTGGATAAAAACAAAAAATATTGAACCGTACGATTCTGTTTACGATGACGAAACTGTGGCGACGTACGCGATGGAGTTGCCAACGTTTGAAAAAGAAACGCGAGTCGAGGCATTTGCCACTGTGTGTTATAGATTGAACGACGAGGAATTGCAGCTGCCGATTGTACCGAATTTCAAATTATCTCTAGAAGTAGCGACTGGAAGTAACGATTCAAAGTCGCAGCAGAATTCCAAGTACGGTGTTCTTGCTAAATTGGCCATTTGTGAGAAAACTATTGAAATTCCAAACGCTGATATGAGCGAGAACCTTTGGTCAATTCTGAAACAAAATAAGTTTCAGGATTGTGTACAACCATTGTCTGATATACCACTCAGACTTCAAATTGTAGCGAGGTAAGCAATTCCGTGGAACTTCAAAATTTCTGTCTTTGAAATTCCATGTGACCCAAGACCGTTTTTCTATTTTCAGAAGCAGCAAGCAATTGGGCCTGATTGAAAAATTGCTGAGGAAAAAAATTTCAGAAGACACTTTATCGTCGCAAGATCAAATTCCTGTCATTGCTGCTGATCTTGCACTGAAAAACGAATTGCTGACGTACCTCGAGGATCGTCAGCCTGCAAGTTTACGAGCGGAAGTGGCAAGAGTCAGATCGGACATTCTGATACCTTGATTAGTAATTTAAAACCTCAAAAGTACAAAAGTAAAATATGTACAAAAGTACAGGGTAAGATTAAGAAAAAGTAATTGTCCCACTAGGCATTTTTCAAATGATTTATTTTGTTAAACTATATAAAGCACATTATTCGTAATAGTAGATGTTGCGAGTGAACGAGTGAGCGAGCGAATGAGCAAAAGATCGACCGTCCGAGCAATTCGGATTGATTGTGGTGCCTGAATTAATAAAAAAAATTAGAAAAAAAAAAGATAAAAACCTTGTACACGATACAAGGATGTCAGGAAGCATTGATTCTCTTCGCAATACTCATTCAAATGAATCATATATTGTATTTCAGAAGTATATAATAAAACAATGATAACATAATCCGATCGACACTTCTGCCGAAGATTGATTTGCAAAATAAGACATTTAAATTATATACTTTATCTTTCATCAATGTGAAAAGCTTCTTTCTCAATCCTTTAGCAGGTGCGTTATTTCTAGCATCTCACTCTCGCTATTGCGTCATTCTATAGGTTGAATCGTATCGCATGAGAGAAATACTCATAGCGCGATATACCATGTCAACACCCTGTCGGAATAGTCTTAAGTATATTCAATAAGTTTAACAACCGATAGAAATAAAAGTAAAAATAAATGATAAGGATAAAGAACTAAAACGACAATGCATCCGTTCAACGTCAGATATTTCTTCCATCTACGAATTTCAAGCTGTCATCTTCGGATTAATCAGTCAAGAATTTTATTCGATCAGGCTTACCAGCCGCAAACCAAAGAGCTCAAACATCCCCTTCTCCCACCTCCAGCTCAATCACACGTATGATGCACCGCAGGCACTCGCACATGCATTCCACTTTCATTCTCTAATAGGATTGATGATCGTTCGCGAGCTCGCAGGCTCACTAGCTCAATAGCTCAATACCGGGGGAGATTGGAACGCCTAGCGAAGATTCTACGAGCCTGATTCTGTCTCAGGCATTTTGCACTCTGTTTCACTTAACACAATGAGATATGCGCAGAAGGATGCGCGTCGCATTCCTTTTATTATTCGTTTCATTCTTTCACTCTAACTCACTCTCTTTCCCCTCGCTCTCTCTCCTCGTTCGATACTTTTATCTCTTTCCATCTCCTTCTCTTCACCGTGTGTACAATTACATTGGCTAAGGCATTCGTTATGGCAAGTATATTAAAGGTGCCTGAGCGCGGATCACCTCCTGTGATCCCGTAACATTATTGCAAGGGGAGTATTACAGTAGATAGTTTAACGCTAAATGAATGCCAAAATGAAAAAGAAAAGATACGATATTTATGGTAAATGACAATGTAATCAAAATTAAGGATGACAAGTTCGAGCAAGGAGGAAGCATACGAAAAGACGTCGTTCGTTCGGTTACCACGATGCGTTAGTGGCGCCACCGGACGGATGCCCGACGCAACTCCCAGAAATGGCGGGTCGATCGAGAGACACAGGACGCGATCCACTTCGGGCACGAGTAACAGTGTACGAAGCAGTAAAAACAGTATGATTCAACGACTTTCCATAGAATAACGCGAGCGCGCATTGTCTCTAGCGTACGCGCGGATTTACATATTACATACGCGTATCAGTTTTACTATTGTTAGAGTGTCACGAGGCTTCGAAGACTTTTCTCATCTAGTTAATTGAATCTAGTCGCGGCCGCGATTGCGCCGCCATCTTCATTCTCAATTTATTATTTACGTGCGCGCGCACGCATTTTCATACGACGTAATGCATCTTATGAATTAATTTTTTTTCTCCCTCTCTCTACTCTCTATTCTCTACTCCCTCCTTCTCTCTCTCTCTCTCTCTCTCTCTCTCTCTCTCTCTCTCTCTCTCACTCTGTATAACCATACGTCTTTGAGTGTTTTATCAGTCTCACCCGACAGTGAGACCAGTGTGTGTTTTTGTGTGTGTGTGTGTGTGTGTTTTGCACAAGTAATCTGTGTATGCCTACGTGCGCGTTGTACTGCGTTCCCATAATCGCAAGTACTTTAACGTATGTGCGCGTGTATTACACGTAGGAAATTGACGCTAGGGTGATTTCTTTATACAAGGCTTTTGCTACGCATGTTTTCTTTTTTCTCTCGTACGAGTAAAAAGAGGACTCTCTCTCTCTATCTATCTATCTATCTCTCTCTCTCTCTCTCTGACTTCCCATCTAATCGCGCAAAACAATGTTTTTTTTCTTCCACTCCTTTCACGATTCACGAGTCTCCCTCGTACGAGAGGGAGAAGCTATTTCGCGAAATCAATGGCGTCACGCCTGACGTCATTATTATGGTAAATCGCGAAAACCTCGCTTGGACTAAACGTGCTCTAAACAAAGCTCAGCATTCACTAATTTTCGCAACTCTTCGACAACGGCTGTTATGCAGTTTTCGAAATTCTTCAATCTTTCATTTTCTCTACGTCACTGGTACCCAAGAGAGCGTCCATATTTAATGCACGGCATTGGCTCTGCTTTTATCTCTCTCTCTCTCTCTCTCTCTCTCTCTCTCTCTCTCTCTCTCTCTCTCTCACTCTCACACATTCTTATAATCCTCTCGCACTCTCACTCTCTCTCTCTCCCTCCTCTTCTCCAGCCCCACCTACTCTACTCTTATCTACAGCATGTACATTAATTGTTAGCAAATTCGCTACAACGCTACGCGTTCTCAGTAAACCTAATTATTCATTTCTTTTCTCCTCACGTTTCTTCTGTCAACTAGAGCGCTTACGTACCGCGCGTGTGTACGTACGTGCCATTGTTTCAATTTTTTTTTTTCATTTTCTTTCTTCTGTCCATTATTCGCTATTCGTTTGATAAAATAGGCGGTAAGAGGATTCGCGGCAATAAACGACAATTGCAACTATAATAATTTCCTGTTTTACTTTCGAAATTCGAGAGAGCTATAGCACGTGGTGACCGCCCTCCCCCCTGACCCACTACTGATAATAACGCCAAATTCTAAAAACACCCCCCAACGCACTATGCCAGTGCCCGTCTCTTATCAACAGAAAAACGCACCAATGCCGCATGCGTGCGTCAGTTACGCGTAGTGCATATGGAGATGGGTCTCTCTTCGTCCATGTACGTGTTACGCCCGTGTACTCTTCATATACAACAATTTCTTTCATTTTTTAACATCATACTACCCCGAGGGATACGAGACGGATTCTATACTGCTGAGAGAAACAAGAACACTTGCAGTTTACTTTCGTTCCACGAAGAGAGCGGCTTTCGTGCAAATACATTGGCGTACAATTTTCATCTAGGCTCTTGCGCGTACCTTTAATTAAGACGTGTTAATCGTATAAGACGTCACGCGTCACAATGGAGAACCCTATGACGTACCGCAGCGGGCCATTCCTCAACAATTTCTAAAAAGGCAGAGTCGACCACTGGATTTGTATACAAATCGCGAACCCGAGTATTTTCGCTAATAAAATAATTACGTGAGATCTATCGCTTTCGTGGTGATGTTCTTACGTTACTTTTTTTTGTATTTAACCATTTTTTTACTTTTCTTATCCACGTGAGGGCGGACCAATTTCCGGGGGTGTTTTCGCGTGTGTGTACGTGAACGTATGTCGAAGCAACCAGGCAGCCAGACAGGCTCGTGTGTGGATAGCGTGACAGCAGACTGGCGGACCAGTCGAGTAGATAGGCAGGTAGGCAAGGTAGGCAGGCAGGCTGTCGTACAGCGTCGCCGTCGGTAATCCGTCGACGACGTCCTGTCGATTCTACTCGTAGATTATAATTTTTGTTTTTTTTTCTCTCACTAGACGTATTCGTGCCGCGTCACACGTTACCCTTAAACGCTAACGCGTCCGCCATCATTCGTATCGCATTCGTATTTTTGTATACGCACTGTATGTACATTAACGCTTCATTTTTCCGTTTCCTTTTTTCTTGGTTTCTATTGGCGGCGGAGGTCGTTGCAACGATAACGATTATTCGTATTAGGTACTAATAAATAATAACGCAGTATTTATAGCTCCTCTTCTTTCTTTTCTTCTTTTTTTTTTTTTTACTATGCTCCTACTCCTTTTCCCGCACCACGATCTCACCGTATATACATGTAAAGTATATAGTGCATCAGCGTCTAACCCTTCGTTATTCTTTCTCTTTGCCTTTGGAAAGAAATTCGTATAGTTTCAACCGCACTGAACACGTATAATTCGCAACCACGACTTTTCTTTTGTTCTTTCGCGAAAAGAAAGAAAGTCTCCCCAAGAACTCTCAACAAGTTAACACGGTTCTTGAGGTGGGCGTTTATCCTCTTCGATTCCATTATAAATTTCTCTCTCTCTCTCTCTCTCTCTCTCTCTCTCTCTCTCTCTCTCTCATTCGACCAGCACTATTATGATTTCTTGGTCATCGTTATCGGCGGGAATTACCACGTAGGCAATATTTAAATTGTTCGGTCCAGCAGCGCCCCTAGCGACGGGATTGATAAAGTCCGCGACCGATGCAGGGATACTGAATGTGATTGCGCCATAGGTTTTTCCACCTCGTGTGACTAGCGGTTCGACGACTTGGCGAGGGGCGTCGGTTCACCAGATCCGACGCATTCCTCAGTATCTCTGCGTACGCTAGTACATGGAGTGTCGTCATTGATACGAGTCCTTGTGGAAGGTGTCGCTCTTGTGAAATATCCTACGTCCCTCGCGCGTGAGTTCCTGACTCGTGAAATTGTTCTCCGACTTTGGCCGTGGTAGCATACACCCCGGAAGTGTCCTCAGCTCCATACTGTGCACCTGGTGAAGAAAATAAACAACGTATCCTCTACAATCAATATAATCAGGATTTACCGGATGCGGTATTTTAATTAAATTCTCTTCGACGCGTTACCGTTTCTTCACTGGCGCTAGCGTGCGCGGCCTGCTCCGCCAGGGCGTTCACCACTGCATTTATAGTTTTCGATTCGCTTCCGAGATCCTCCTCGCGATGTCCAACCACGTTAGGATTCCATCCGATCTTGTTCAACCTGCACGGAGAGCATGATTAAGCGTAGGGAATATGTTGCAACGAGCACGACCAATCGGTCGGCCCAGTTCTAAAGTTGACAAACGGAAGGACAGGAAGCCTTTTTTCTCTCTTTCTCATAATATAATTTATCAACAGGAAAAAACTGTCAAAACTTACAGCCGACCCTGTTCTACCGTCCGTCACTTTAACTCGCCCGTCTGGAATGGAATTCCAAACGGGTGGCGCTGATTCGTGGTGAGGAACCAATGACGAGGGTACACAATCGATGAATGGCACTACCAATAATTTACAATGCTAATGAGCGAGCACAGTGACAGCTGATCGAAAGACAGCGACAAGGGACTGAAGAGTGTATTGTTGGTATTCAACGGTATGCCATAGTGTTTTCTAATCTTATGCAGTGTGGGCACACCGACAGTGTGATATAGTACGACAAGTGACTGTTTGTTCTGACTGTATGAAAATTTGTAATGACTGTGGTAGACGTGTGATGTACATCTATTAGCACACCAACTCGATAGAACAAACCTAACCAAAGCTTATACCTCTCGGCGGCAACGCTCTCCATTGTACGACGCATGAGCGGATACTGATCGAGAACGGCATTGAAGTGATCCACCGAGAGACTGAAGAGATTGCAGTACGTTTCGGCGCGAACCGACGCCACTCTTCTGGCATTGGTCAATAAACAGATCTCACCGAAGTACGAGCCGTCGGTTAAGGACGTGGCGACTTCGCCGTTAGCCATTACTATATCGACGATGCCTTCTTGAATAAAGTACATTTTCGAGCCAATGGTACCTTCCTTGATAATGATGTCACCTGTCAAGAAAAAAAAAATTATTTTTTAGCGTCAAAGTGAAATATTTCTTAAAACAGTGAAATATAATTATCAAATCAAGTAAACGGTACCTGGTTGAAAGACCTCGTATCTCAATTTCGTGACAACGTCCGAGACAAAGTTTGAGTCTGCGTTTGCGAAAAACGGCACCGAGGCTACGAGAGATCTGCAGTTGTAGTTGATGACGTCCTGTTGAAATTTGAATATTTTTAGTGAACCGCCAACGGTCGTCGTGGTCGAAGCGTCTGCGCATGCGTCCGCGTGCAAGCGTGCAAGTTCAGCCTGATCAGGCGCATATGTATACAAGGTCGATGAACAAGCCACTGACAGGCATGTCCCGCGTCGGCTTGCTCGTTTACTTGGAAGCAATGGCGAAGCGGGATCAAATTGGCTGGAATGGAATTCTGACACTTGGTAATATGGACGATATATACCTCTCTGAGCTTCTCCGAGAGTTCACCGAGGATGAGTTCCTCGTCGAAGAATTTGCCCTGGTAACGATGCTCAAAGTACTCGGTGATTCGTTGTCGCATCTCCCTCGGCAACTTGCGGTAGGCCATGTACTCTTCCACCTGCTTCACCTACCCCGAGAACAAATCATCCCCGTTCAAGCGTCTGGATAGTCTGGCGAATTTACGCCCTTCGTGCCCTTGGCAACGGCTGCGCGAGGGACGGAGAGAGACAGAGGGATGATGGGAGTGAAAAAAGAAGGGATGATAAAAGATGTTTGGGTAAAATTTTTTTTGAAAAATAAAAAAAAATTTTCCACTCTCAAGGATCTCTCGGTCCCTCGCGATTTATAAACTTTGGATTGTCTCATGAAATTTTGGATTTTTCTCTTTTTTTTTTTTGACGTATCACCGGAGAGGATATACACTGGACGAAGGACCTTTTAATCCCGAGAAAGGTGTAGCCTCGGTGGAACCGTGAAACTTCTTCGAAACTTATGTATTAACTGGACACAGTGTATAATACACTAATTATTGGGGCGTGATCAAGTTTCGTACAGTACAAAAGGATAAATAGGGTGGAAATGGTATGCAGTGATTATGTAGATTCGTAGAGGCGATCAGAATCCACTTTTACTTACGTGACAGTTTGTAACAATAAGACTCATCAGTTATTCGGAAATTAGTGGCAAAGTCGTAGCTGAAACTATGTAGGACAGCTGGAATGTAGGGTAAAGGCAAATAGGTATAGGTATACATATAGGTATAGGAATATAAGGAAACAACAATGGACTTAAATCCCAAGGTAGAACCGTAGTGAAAAAAATCAAGTATAATAATCCGTAAAGGCCAACAAAATCTGACTTACCTTCTCGCGATACTGTCTACGCGACGAATCCAAGGATTGTATAAGATTGGTGGCGTGTCCAAGAAATAGTGCGTAACAGGTGGCGCCACTGATCATACTGAGCATAGTCAACCACATGTCAGTTAATGACTGTGGTGGAAATCTTCCATACCCGATGCAGAGCATATGCGACATTGCTTTGAAAAGTGCCCAGGAATATTGTTCGAGCCAGAACGATCCCTGCGAACAAGAACAAAGTCTCGTTGTAGTGATTGGTGTACAAAGTGAAGAAAACAAAAAATGCCAAGGCTACAACGACTTACCTGCAATTCGTTAATCGCCACCCAGGAGTTACTAGGGAATCCTTGAAGCATCGGTACGAGAAATTGCAGACAGCCACTCCAGTGGCCAATCAGGAGCATCATGCAGATCAAATTGAAGATTCGCATGAAGACCGAAGCCATGTTCAGGAACTGCCAACAACAACAAAAGGCCATTAATCTTTCGTTGACATTTCGTTAATCCCGGCCCGCTCGTCACTCGGCCGGGTGACGAGCACTGGCTCCGCCGAGGCATCCGAAGCGCCGTTGCGTTGTGTACAGCAAAGAAGCGTGTTGTATTGCGCCAAAACAATAAACGATAACTGATAAACAATATACAAAAAAACAATAAACAACAAAATTATATTAGACGGTTCTATGACGAACGATAAACAAAGGAAAGACACCGAACAAACGAAAAATTATAATCATAACATAGAAGAGGAACATCAAGATGGCCGACTGGAGGAAGTTGGGAAAGGATAAGGAAGAAGGTGTTTTATGGAATTTTATATGTTTCTCAGGTAAGCAGGACATTTTCTCCTTCGGGAATTTTCGATTTTTATAGAGCTCTTGCTACCGGGACAAACGAAAAGAAGAGATACGCGCGACGAAGTCGTGAGACGGGCGTCTGCCGACCGTCTCGACGTCCGCCATGCGATTTGGTCGACGTCAGAGTTAATATTTCTTGGTAATTTTTTTTTTCTATACCACGACGTTCAATGAACGCTGGTTTATTTTTTATTTACCAAACGTTCGCATATTTTCGAATTTTATTGTTTCAATTGACACAAGGGACGAGGGGCTGTTCATGCTGCGACACAACTGGACAGTATAAAAGTTTAAGGTGGACACGCATATCGATCTACACTGCGCGAGAAGCAAACGGATGGGATAAATTTAACGAAAGGCAAGAGAGAAAGAGAAATAGAGAGTGGAAGAGTAATGAGAATAAAGAGAAACGGTAAAACAAAGGATGTGAGAGGAATAGAGAAAAAATGGGGATACGAAAAACAACTTAATGTCCAAAGTAAACAAAGAAAGACAATAACTACAGCAAAATAAAACAACGTTTAACAAATAAGACAACGTATTGGGGGTTGTACAGGGGATTGGAAGATAGAGAGTGAAAAGGAGAGTACGAGACAATATAAACATAAACAACATAAACAAGACACGTGCTGAAATCAGAATGACAACAAGGTTGTTTCTCATCGATGCAGGACTCTATATAGGCCAACTGTTGTAGACGATCATAGTGCACAACTTGTCTCAGACTTTTGGGTCTTGTTCAACCATACAAAAATGCCTTGCGAATTGTCCGACTGTAATTACGATGCTTTGAAAAAAAAAAAAAAAAAAAAAAACTGGAACCAACAATAACTGTACGAATCCATCGATCCAATCGTCCGTTCATTCATTCTAGATTCTCATCAACCTCTCCCGCCACCCCTCTCACTGCTCAACAGTCAACAGGATGATTGTGATGACATAAAAACAATACGAGTGGGACCAGGAGGAGAGCAGTGGCGATAATTGTCAATACAAGATCAAAAGTGTCAATGTAATTGACAACCGATATAAAAAATATCATGCACTGTCAAGTAGGGAAGGTTGAAGAAGAGTTGACCAATGAGTTGATACGTGAGCATCGGATGTGGAACCGGAAGCTGACTGGCCGACTGGCAAGTAGGCATGCAGGCACAGCAACAAGCAGGCAGGACAAGCATCAGCAGCCAGATAGATAGTCAGACAGACGGCCATAGGTATGTCAACGATAAGCAACGTGAGCTGTAAGATGTCGATGAGAAGTTTTAACGAAGTGATAATTGAACACAGCGAGGAAGAAGAGAGATAGAAGGAAAAAAATTCCTAAGCTATCCACAATCATGTTCATCAGTTCTGAAGTTGAGTTTGTGATCTATTTTTTTTCTTTTTAGTCAACCTGATCTCATGTATTGTGGACGAAGAACAACAACAACGACAACATTAGACACGGGGGACTTATGGGTTTATTTTCATAGACAGAAATGCTGGAGCAAGATTGTGAAGTGACGTGGAATTTATATGCTATCTGACATGACACGTGTTGGTTTTGTGATAATTTGTGAATTCATGTCAAGTGATACGTTACCTGTGACAGGCGAGACGAGCCCCGCGCAATAGCAAATAGATGCGATCATAAGCGTAATGTTGACCACAGTGTTGAACAAGTCGTCTGGACGGTGATAGCGAATTGGTGGTAGATTTTCTAAATGGCGGCTAAATGGATGAATGACGGCTGAATATCATCAGGTGGACAAACGGATTGGCGACGGATTCGTACAAATATATACGTATTGTGCAATATCGAGTAGGAAGATCGAGACAAAGGTTACTACTGAACTCGCTTCAGTTCACTTGGTAATAAATTCATCAGCCACAATTACGATTGTTGAAAAAAACAAAAAACAATGGCAATCGATCATTCGAACAATTGTAATTGTACACACAGAAAGTGAATGAATAAGACAAGAAGTAGTATGGCGCAAAGTAGCAGCAGCGGTGGGCGACAGCGGCAGCAGCAAAAGCAGCAAAAGCAGCAATCTCATCAACGTCACGCGCAACAACAACATCAGTGCTATTTATAACAACAACGACAACAACAAATAATTACGATGCAACGAGGATCAAAACAACATCGAGTAGGGCTACCGTGGCGACGGTGATATCAATCGGGACAAGGACGTCGACAAGTATCAGCAGCAGCAACAACAACAACAACAAAAACGTCAAGTGCTGCTACGAGCAGAATTAGTCGGTATCAGGAAAGCCAAAAGGGAACAGCAAAGCCCGTTAAATGAAAGCTAGAAAAGAACAAGCGTTTGATCGAGCGTCTCTTTGAAAATACATAAAATGGCGGCCGAGCTCTTTACGTCGCTTCTGGCGAAAAGCGCTAAAGCTAAGGAGAGAGAGAAAAAATGGAAAATGGCGGCACGGCGAAAGAAACTCGTGACGAGTAACAGCGCGAAAGCCGAAAAGTAAAAAGAAAATAAAGCGTTTCAGAATAAATCGCTGTTTGGATATTCATAAAGGGTGATTCAAAAAAAAAAAAAAAAGCTGCCTGGCGTTGCGGAATGAGAGGAGGGCGCCAGAGTGTTTCATCGCCAAACGAACGAACAAAAAAAAAAAGAGGAAAAACAAAGGAAGTAGGAAGAGACGGAACAAGGGTGGTAGGGGCTTATCGAGCTTCCGGAATACGTTTTACGGATGGACACCGTTCTGCGTTCACGGTGTTTTTACTCGGCCGTTGTTCGTTATAAATTAAGCGGCACTGGTTTTTTTTTTTTTTTTCATCCCGTCCGATTATAGGCACGTGCAGGTGGAGCCATTGAAGCAGAAACGAACTGATAAATTGAGAGGGACGTCCTAAATCGCATGTCGCGCTCCTAAGGAAACAATGCTACTACTATTTTATTGGTTCACTTATAACCCCCCCTTCCCATTCCCTTACCTTATCATCCGGCGAGGAGGAATACGCGTAAATCCGTCTTGCAGGATACTCAAAAAAATTTTCCAAAAACTACATGACTAAAGAAACCAATATTTTTCTTTTTTTTTTTATTATACATAACCTCGTAGCCGGATGTTAATTTCAACTACGTTTGAGGATTGATAGCGGTAGCGGTAGTAATGACAATGGACGTTAGCGGCAGCACTAGCGAGAGAAAACAATCAATTTTGATTTTTAACGGTCGAAAAACGATAAAAGCATAAACCTGTTGCAGCGAATGCTCAAGTAACGGCATGTACTTGGTATACGAAGAGACATACACGTATTAAATGCGTGATGGCCGACGTTAAAAAAAAGCAGCGAGATGATCAAGACACGTGCTACTGCGCATGCGCGTACGATACGCGTGCCTCGTTTACAGGTAGCGGCAGCGAGTGGCAAAAAAAAGCAAATCTTTTCAATTAACTTTATCAACCAACGAGCCAATCAGCGTGCAGTAGCCCTTGCTTCCGCTGTCCTGACGACACGTGTCACGCAATAATCCATATACAGAAATTTCGAATTATCGGAACGACGCCGTCGTAGAGGCAGGTCGCGGTCGAGTCGAGCCGAGTCATAGCGAGTCCATACGGTATACAGATGTGGATTCACAAAGGGACATTTGGGGCTTTCGACTGGGATTTCTGGTCGCCTGATACAATAATACAACCGACAAGGACTTCTACTAGCCATCTCACTATGACCGACGCTCGACTTACGACTTTTTCTTTTTTCTTTTTCTTTTTTTTTTGTCAGACACACGAACTCCCGTTCGAGAGATTTCTGCATGTTTGAAGGACGAGTGACGCGAGTGACGTCATTTCTTTGTCGCGCCAGTGGTTAACGGAAGACGAGAGCCTGTGCGTTTCTTTTCTTTCTTTCTTTTTTTTTTTCCTATGGGCGGGTTACCTTAAAAATAAGGTCGCTTTTGCTGAAACCGGACTTCTTTTTATTCATATTGTCAGAGCTTAGGCGCCCCCTCCGCTCAGTGCGTTTTTTTTGTAGGTTCTGCAATATCTAGAAACAAAAGAAAGCCGGGACATAGCAAGACGTAGTAAGAAGAGGACAGGTCGTAGCAAATAGTACTGAGTGAGAATCAGAGAGAGAGAGAGAGAGAGAGAAAGAGAGAGAGAGAGAGAAAGTATAGCATAGTACAGTATGAGTAACGGAGAGTGATTGATTAGACCGAGAGGCATTATGATTATTTTTGTGATATTTATGAGAAGGAGAGAGAGAGAGAGAGAGAGAGAGAGAGAGAAAGAGAGACGGATATAGATATATGAAAATGACAATGGCTTTTGCAGTGGCAATGTTTGACGCGATATGAAACAGTGGTAGTAAATAGTAGTGTGATAGCGGTAGTGATAGTAGTGATAGTAGTGATAGTTAGTGACAGTATAGTAGTATATAGTAGCAGTGACAGTAGTCCTTAGCAGCGATATATATAAGATAAAACGATCAGAGCCACCCAATGAGTAAGAAATTCGTGCGACAAGACTGATAACAAATTGTGATAAGATTGTGACGATTCGGATTTAATGGGGGGG